GGCGGTGGAGCTAAGAGCTATCCAAAACTAAGTTACAAGGGAGCTAGAAAGAGAGCTACCCAATCTAAGGGGGTGTGGTCAAGCCAAGAGATCTCCCAACAAAGGGAGCCAAGTGTTGAGAGTGACCAATAGTCACATAGAGGCCAAGAGCCTTGTTCTATAAAACAAAGAGTTGACCAGCCAATAGCTATACAAATGAAGGGCCCCAATAGCCTAGAGTCATAAATCTAGAAGATAGGTAACCAATAGCTACACCACTAGGAGGCCAACTAGCCTACAAAAGCCATGTACTATTCTCCTCCATTCTAATAAGAACAGTTTGTTTCAACTATTGTCCTATTGTTCTATAAGACAAGATAGTATAGAAGAACAAAGAAGCATGCCAAAAGGAAAAATAAATTTAAATACATCAAAATCCATGGTGAATTCTATCATATTTGGTTCAGTAATAATGTACACAGTACTAAGAGATTAGAAGTCAACCTTCAATTTTCTCCTTGACACTCCCAACCTCTTCCACATGCTTCTCATTAATCAGATAAACCACCTCATAGTGGCGCACTGTGACAAGGAAAACAGTGTCATAAAACATGTCAGTCTAGAAGCCAACATATCGTAAATCACGCAGTTAAAAACTCATAACATTGTCCCTTTGCTCTATGAATTATTAAAGGCAATTTATTCCACCATTTCAATATAGTAAAGCCGAATTGCATCTCAAAAATCCAACTAGCAAAGAAGTAGATGCAGCCTAGAACATAAAAGTGCATTATCCTGCCCCCTAAGGAACCACATGACAATCCTACTAGCAAGAAGAAGAAGCAGGAAGTACACTTACTTCGTTCCTCATTCAAATCGCTTTGTAGCTGAAGCTTCAAATATTCATATACCTTCTCTGCATAGTGATGAAAACAAAATCAATAACAGCAATCCCCATAGGGCCAAAATCATTCTTCATAACAAGAAAACTAATATTGCGTCCTTTTAAAAAGATAGCAATCACCTATAACAAGTTTGAATCAGAATAACTCACCTTCTTCTGCGTCAGCAAACTCAGGGAGAAGTTTACCATCTTCCTGAACTTTCTTCTGCAATTCATCACAAAATTTCATCTCAAAATCAATTACAATTAGAGTCACTGTAATAATACATGCACCTAAACTTAAGCAACCCAAAACCTTATCTTATCCAACTTCATTTAGTTTTTCAAGAAAAAGAAGATCCCTTTGTACACAAGGTTCATACTTTAATGGTGAAACATTATAGTCCAAAGAAACAGAACAAAGGAAAGGACAACTCAGATACCCACAATATGAATGTACTTAAGCCACAATTTACATAGCTTGAATATCAGATAACCAATATGAACATTCTACAGCGGTGGCTGAAAAGTAGAGGGTCGCACTAAAAAGTCTTTATATTTCAGAAACCGAAATTCGCAGAGAGGAAAGGAAATTTAAAAACTCATAATACCAAATAAAGAAGGGAAAAAAAGAGTAAAAGCATGGAGTTGTGTCAAAATTCAAAAGGCAACCTCTTTAAGCAGCACAGCTTCAGGGAAAGGGCCAGTGGCCTCATCCGGTTTTGATACGAAGCTATGATTGTCGTTCTTCTTCTTCTCCTCCTTGTTATTGTTCTTCTTTGCACCAACAATCACCGACTTTCTACGTCCAACAGAGAGCTTCTGAGAGGTAGCTGGCCTACGAGAAGAAAACGAGGAGTACCCATTTGCGAATTCCAAGCTTGAAATTTGGTTTCTGGAGGACCCATTTCCATGGACCAGTTTTAAAGCTTTTGGAGTGATAAAAGCTACAGAGAAGGAGTGTAAGAGTGCCCCCATTGAACCAGCTTTGAAGCACTGCTAGGATATGCGATTTGCGGTAGAGTTGGAAGGAAAAAGGGTGGTTTAGTAATTTCGATGGAGGTTACTATATATCATGGTTAATCCTGGTCCACCGTTCGATACATCAACTCCTTCATTAGTAGGGATCCAACGGCCTAAGTTATTGGCTTTTCTTCTATTTGTTTTAAATCATAATTGTTTTCATTTTTCCTTTTATAATCGGGTATGGGCAAACTCTCTCCTCTCTTTTTTGTCCTTTCTGTATAATGATATTGGGACCATGTTGGTACGGAATGGTTATTTGATATACTCGTAGAAGATGTAAAAATATTCATTTTTAAATTAAAGTTTCCCAGCATTTTAGACCAAATTAAAAAAAAAAAAAAAAAAAAAGGATTGATCTGGCCCCAATTGAAAAAATACATTTTCAACCATGAGATGTGGTGTGGTGGTAGCTCACCTCATCCCTTAACCATGAGGTTGGGAGTTCGATCCCCGCCCATTGGATTGGAGCACATTTCGTGGCCAGCTGTTTACCTCCTTTGGGAGAGCTCCCGCAGCGAAAGGGATTAGTCACTGCTGTCGGCGGTGGACACCCTTGGGGCTAACCAAAAAAAAAACCCTTGGGTCTAACCAAAAAAAAAAAAAAAAATACATTTTCTAATGTATGTATTTGGACCAGTCCAGTTTTAAGGCAAGATGAGGGGTTGGTTTTTCCCAAGTGTTGGCCCGGGCAAGAGTGGGCACACGGTCAGTTTTTTTTTTAATAAAGAAAAGGGTGCAGCAAAAGTTGACTTTCCAAATGCAATGGCCTATGAGAAGCTGCCACATGGCGCTCTCAATGACAATGGAATGAAAAGGCTAATTGCTGGGCTTTTTATTTATTTATTTATTTTTTTCCAGTTCAGCCTCTTTTTTCAATCCAACAGCCTCTTTTTTCAATCCAAGGACTAATCCAGTCTTTTTAATATATATAAATATATACTCCAAATAGTTTTATTTGTTTATCCTTTTGATATTTCTACATTCAAACCTCAATAAATAGACTTTTATCTCCATCTTCTAGATTTTGTATACAGTACCATTTTGAGAGGCTAAAACAGCACCTAGTTCATTGCCCCTTGGCCTTGCATTAGACATGCAGAGGGTCTTTCTCCTTCTTGACAAATGTGTACAAGGATGATAATTTTAGTCATGAAACAAATCAAAGAAAAAACTCGTAAACCGGTTAAGACTGATTTTTACTTATTCCTCCAAAAAGGAGAAAAGGTTGAGTGTCACTTAAAATGAATACGAAAATGACATAATAAACCTTATCGAGTTTTGTGTTGAACATGAATTATCCGATTTTAATATGGCAACCTTAGGGCCTGTTCGTTTATGTTTTAAAGGCCCGTTTTTGTTTTTAAAAAATAGAAACAGAGCAAAAACATGTTCGGTAAATAAAAATAGAAAACATCAAAAACGTTTTCATAAAATGAGTTGGACTTCACGTTTGCTTCTACAAAACAGAAAAAATCTATTATTATTAGCTCAATATAGTTCATATTTCTTTTTTAATTTTATAGAATGGGTAACGGGGAATTCAAACACGGAACTTCGGCTATCAAAATCGCTTGTTCTTTTGTCAGATAAGCTGATATATAGTTTATACGTACTTAACTATCATTCCGAATCCACGACGAAGATAACTTCCATGCACCACTTTCATACCTCTTCTATTTATATCTCTCGTGATACGACATGTGAGAAGAAAGAAAGAAAAAGACGGGATATGAAACCGATGTATATGGAAGTACAGTCGATAAGTTGTGTCTGATTCATCCGTTTCCTTCTCACTTCATCCTCACAAACCATATCAATTTTATCTGATTCATCCTTTGCTTTCTCGCGGTACTATTAGTATTTTTTAATCTCACGCGTGCGCGTGCTGTATAACACCAAAATAATTTGCTGTAATAATTAGGTTTCTTATACATCTAAAAATTATTGGGAAGAAGAAGAAGAAGAAGAAGAAGAAAAAAAATAAACAAAAACAAGAGGACATGTACTTTTGTGATCTGTGGTTGTCACAATTATACATGCTTTAGTAGACGATAATGTAATATATAAGCACTTCTTCTAATGGAGAATCTTCAGAAATGTTCCATTTAGAAGTTCGATATAGAAGCACTTTGTTCTTTTTCTCTTCTCAAATTGATATATAAGCACTTTGGGTCTTCGAATAATATGCTGTTGCAAATATTGATGGAAGAGAAGCACGTCGTGATAGGTTGTTCGAAGAGTTTCAAGTAGAAGACATCATTGTTGAGGGTGAAGATATGGCTACACCAAATTTAGATATGTCTCCGGAAAATATTGCACAAATGACCAACATTAGAGATAAGATTGCACAAGATTTGTGGCGTGATTTCACCCAAGGCTCTTGATTATATTATTGTAATTTTTAATTTTTATTATTATTAATTTTTTTTCTTGTGTGTCAATGAACAAGTTTTTGTAATATTTGGTCTAGAAGCCAATGAATGTTTCAATCGACTAATTTAAACTAAGCCAAATGCATAGATATATCACTTTTTCTTAAATCTAACTTAATCCAAGCTCTTTAATTTTAGTAAAATAGATCAAACGAGAAAAACATGTTTGGTGTGCATAATAAAAAAGGTGTTGGACTAATTACATACATAAATGTGTGAAAATGTTAGTTTAAAAAATAAAATAAAATCCTCTTACCAAACGCATATTCACTATTTTTTGTCATTTTCACAAATTATTGCCAGACACGTTTTCACTGTTTTTGTTCTCTGAAAACAGTTTTTAACTAGCTACCAGACACGTTTTTGTTCTCTGAAAATGCGTTTTCATTTTCTCGTTTTCATTCTATGAAAACATTCTCTGAAAATGCTCTATGAAAACGTTACCAGACGGGCCCTTATTTTCTACTTTTGACAATTTCATAGCTTGGTAATAAAATTAGATTTATAAAACTAATTTTCTGGAATCTTTATATAAGCTGTGTGTCAACCAAAATTAAAATTGACTAATAATTGACCCAACTCCCATTGTCACTCTCCTCGCTTTAATTAGGTGCCCTGCAGAGAATCAATCTCAAATTGAGCCATTGGAGATTGGAAAAATATTCCAACACTACGAGTTCAAAGATATAATCATCTTGTTTTAATGGATTTTGATGTGGGTTATATTCATCAGGGTTTTATCTGATGAGATAAAGGCTAACCATCAGATTACATGCACCAGATCAAGTTTCATAAAAATATGTTGGCTTCACATATCATCCATTTCCATGAACATAACAACAATGCATTGTCTAACGTCATTCTTTCTTGATCATCATTCCATGCGTCCAATCCTTCCAACCAATTCAGATCCCTCCGCATACCAAATGCAAAATATAGGCAGTGCAAGAACATTATTGCCTTGCTCCTCTGCGCAAATGTAACTGCCTAAACTTCTGGCAATCTATTTCGAATGGGTATAGCGGTCCACAGTTAATTCTAAGACGATTGAGAATGATGAAATGATATACAAACTCTGTAGTATGCACTATGCAGGCTAATGGGGGATTCTATACTTATGATTAATGAAGTCAAACTTTCCTCAGGCCTTCTTTTTTCTGAAAAAGACAATAGGCCAACATTGAAACATATGTTTTTATCAGATTCACTAATGCTTACAAAGATTAGTGAGAAACAATGGGAACAACTTGGATACTCACCATTGCTTCTTTCCCTTTTTCTTCCTCTTGTTAGCGCTGCCACTGTTGCTGCCACTACTACTCTTGGTGGTACCATTTCCAGATTTGGCAGATGGGCTCTCAGTGGAGGTGCCGGCACTAAAATTTTCAAACATGCCTGTTTGCACTGCATTCTGTAACCACTCAAAGAATTCTTCCTCTGTCATGTTCTCTTCCATAGATGCCGGCATCCGGCCTCCTCTTTGTCCTGAACTTGCTCCCTTTCCAGTATTATGCTTGGAGGTCACACTAGTGTTCACATGAAAACTTGGCTTGTGAGTGTTGGCTGGACATCTCATTCCCTGCAAAAAAAAAATTAGCTTCATGTACATTTTCTTTCAACATGACAAGAACTTTGTGTGGGTGTTGGAGCAGGCATGAGTGTTTTTAAAAAGGAGAAGAGACGTCAATGAAAAACTAATGAAGAAAAAAGTTAAAATTGAATTACCTGGCATATATACCACTCAGTAGCATTATATATCTTGCTATCTGCACAAACAAATGCAGATGGAACATCTACCTGCACGTGCAACATTATTCGAAAAGGATAATCTGGTATTAGATGCATTTCAGATACTAATGGACAACAATTCTTTATCATTTTCTTCAAGGTTTTTTTTTTCCACTAGCAAACAATGAATCATAATAGCACATGAAGATGACAACTTAGTAAGAGCAGACAATCCAAATGCACGTATATAACAAGCTTTCTCCAACATATATAAATACACATACCTTCTGCAAAAATCCAAAGAAGAAGGGTTGGGAAGATTGTTCAACCCACCCATCACCATCTTTTGCTTGATGCAAATCCTTGCAATCCTTTCAAAAGAGAAATTCCACAAAGAAAACATCAGAACCAGGTGCAAAATCTCTCATCTTTATGAAAAAGGAGCATCATGCTTAAGGAGGATTTGATGAATGCAAACTCAAAGAACATCATTAAACACTGTAAAGGTAAATGACAACCTGACACCATCGCGCTTGAGACTTTGACTTCCTAGTGAGTACCCAGACATGAAAGTTGCCACACTTATTGCAGGCAATCCGCCTAGAATCTCCAAATGGGTCCTCACCATCAGCTTCCGGGTGTGCAAATCCAGAAGGAAAGACACCGTGTCCTCCATTCTAGGAAACACATTGCAGTAAAAGCTTAGGTAAGGTGGATATGTAAACAAACTTAGAACGAGTAATGATTTACAGCCCTTAGAATTATATTGAGTTAAAACGAGCATATAATTCCTGGCAGAAGCCACATCTATGGGATGGGACCAAAATTACACGACTTTCTACAAACAATTCCAAGTTAATGACAAAGTTGAATGGAAGGAGCCCCTTGGATTTGGGGGAACCAACTGACACGGGTCACTTTCAAGCTTAATCCTCATGGTTATTGAAGAGATTGGTCAGCAGATTTCATTTTCTCACACCAATTACAACAATGCATACAAAAAGGATGTAAATTACCTTTTGTGAAGCACTTTGAAATCTACGGAAAATGTTCAGCAGTTCCTCTCTCCTTAATTCGTCATCATATGCTTTTCGCTTCAATGAATCAAGTAAAACCTAGAAAAGATAAAAACAAAAAAGGCCAATGGTACAATCAGAATGAAAAATCAAATAGATCATAGAAAAAATCTCGACGGGGTATCAAAAGATCACCTCATATGCATTCTGAAGTTTCTTGAAAGCTTCAGCAGCCTTTTCATTTCCCATATTTTTATCGGGATGGACCAACATTGCCTGATAAGAAATATAACAACCTCATTCAAAGAAAGTATTTTAACATATTATACAGCATGTTATCAAGAAACAGTAGTTCTATATAAATAAACCAATCTCAGGAAAGATAAAAGTCATCATTTAATATAACGAAAATAAAATTAGATCTCAGCCTTGGCCATACAGAATACAGATCTTGAAACTTCGAAGAGAATAACATAAAAAGAAATTACAAATTAGTCAGAAAATATCCCTTTTCATGCCAATTATAGCAAACAAAAAATGGCACATACCTTTTTCCTATACTCCCGCTTCAGTAAAGAAACATCTATATTCTCAAACCGGGACAATCCCAACACTGAATAGTGATCAGTACAGTTTAGCAGCCGAACTACTTCATCTTCAGAGGTTATCTCAGAATCAGCCCCACTGGTTGAAGGTACTCCAGGGCTACGATCAGCAGAAAACCATGGCCCATTTTCAGAGGATGAAGCATGCTCCTGCTCACCGTTAAAAAAGCCTGGTTGACCTTGCATTCCAGATGCTTGTTCAGGGAATCCGGTGGGTCTTCTCTGCTGATTTACATTGTTCTTTAAGAAATATATCAGACAATCACTTGAGATAAAAGATAAATTCAACCCTATAAGCAAACCCAGCCATCCAACATATGTCCAAGCACAATAAATGGAATACACAGTGGCGACAAACAGGGCAACACGCTCATGGCTCAGTGTGAATGCCAAACCTGAATGTTGAAGAATGTTAAAGCTCAGCAAGCTGTGATGAGGAAGTATGCATAATTGAAATAGATGATCTGCAGTTTTACGAGGGTAAAAGAATCACCTGCCAAGAAGATTACAAGTGCTGTTGTCCAAAAGCTTCCATAGAACCACAAGAAAATAGCTCCAGAAATAGCAACCACCAAAATCGAAAGCATGAAGCCAATGAAAAGTCCAATCAGAGCAGCGAAGACCTAGGTATTTACAATAGTTATGAGAGCATATTAACACAAAACTTAACAGATCATCTTAACCTCAATCATCAATGCACCCTTTGCAGAAAATAATTATTCCAAAAGGAACATTCAGAAAGTCTAGAAGCTCAACAAGTCATAAGCAAACAGAAAGAACCAAATAGGTGTAAAAGGACAAGGGGCCAGACACGGGTGCATTTTGTTGAAAGAAATAAGTAAGAATAATCTCAATTACAATAATGAAAAGAAGAAAAAAAAAATTATAAAAAGTTTCTGGTTATAATGAAGTCAGTGGTCAGCAGCAACTTAGCAGTACTAGGGCTTACCAACACAATCAGAAACTTAAACATCCCAACCATAGCAACTACTGAGAGAATGCTGCACCATATAACAGAAAAGAAGGATGTTGTCCCCATCCGGAGTAAGCTATCGATGCCCCTTACGGTACAATCCAACCAAGCCATTGATAAAAGAACCAATATGCTCCCAAACTGCATAAGCCACTTCAGAACAATGGGATATGCCTGCTCAAACTTTGTATTGACATAATCGCGAGCATTCAGTATGTTACTTTTGACAGTAAGAAACATAGGCTCGTGCCTCTGCAGCCATTCACTAGCCACCTTCAAGAAGGACAATGTTGATGCCTTCAAGTTTCTAACCAATAGGCTATCTGAAAACTCTACCCGACTCAGAAAAGTTTTCATATGCCACCATTTCAGGGAGGACCCAAATTTTCTTTTTGTATGTTTACGGCGTAAGTCACTCCGAGGTAATGACCCATTTTCTTCTCTAGTGCTTGGAGCTTCATTGTTTCCATTGCAATCTCCTGAATCACTCCCTAAAGACATTGCCTCCTCCGGAACCCGAGTTGCATCCAGACCTTGCTTATCTTTCCTCAAAAGCTTTCCAGATTTTTGTTTGCTTTTATTCTCATCTCCAGGATGATTGGTTTTACTCCCACTGGCTGAAAGAGGACTGCTTGGCTGGTCACCATTTGGTAGTTCTTCTCCAGGGAACACTTTCACCTCACTTGCTTTTCCTTGCCCTTTCGTTTCCGCTAGTGTACACCCTGAATCTGTACCCTTCCTTTTGTGCTTCGATGTCTGGCGATCTACCCCATTCTTTTGTTGATTACCCTTCCGAGCCATAAGATAAAAGGCCTTGACGTACTGTTTTAAAAAAAGTCAAGCTAAACGATCTGTAGTTGATTCAAAGCAGTGATGTCATGGATGCTAGATTCTCTGTGAGAAATACAATCTGCAATTAAAAAATAAACACAATTACAAGGATGCATATATACATAAAATCAAGTTTTTGTATAGAACTACAAAACATCATTTAAATAAATAAAACTTGGATTTGTTGTTATAAATTAATTATCAAACTGAAAAATGGTAATGACAGTCATATATCAGTAAAGATCTAAGCTACCCCCATTTGCTGATAATTGGGCCTTCAATTAGAGTTGGAGTTCTACTAAGAGTAGAAGTAGTAATAACACAGTATGCAATCCTCATGCAAAAAGGGTCACCATAGATTGGTTATGGAAAACATATCAGTATTGGGGTAACCTGCATAATTGCTGAAGCAATAAGAAAAACTCAAGAATTTCAAGCCAACAAATATCCAAAAGCTCATGCAAAATAAACCCACAAAAATAGTTTCTGAGACTTACATTGTTCATTTCGCAAGAAACAAAAAGAACCCAAAAAAAATATTCTTGCGAAGAAAACGTATTACACTGTATTATAAACACCATGGTTATCGTCCATGAATTGAATTAAAAGAGAAAAATGAAAAACCCCATTTGAGATTTAAAGCCCCAAATATTTGAAAAAAAAAAGAAGAGGAATAAAACCCATTTCCAACTATTCAGCAACGCAACATAGCAAATAAAATTCGATGAAAACAATGAAATCGAGCAGAACCCACAAATTATAATCAATGGTAGATAAGTATTTAACATTAAGATTTTTGTACGGACATACCTGGAGCAAGAAGAGATTTCTTTGTATGAAAGAGAGAGGCACACAAAGGGATTAGTGAGATAATAACAAGGATATGAAAGTGGCAGGCTTGACCAATTGGGTTCTTCTGGAAATGAAGGAGCTGACCATCAGCATGTAATACACATGTCAGAGTTTTTGGGTCTGCAAAAAGACAGAGAAACACTCATGAAGCTCTAAAGCCGAAGGAGTTTTCTGTGTCCCTCATCCAAGACGTTGAATGCAGGTCTGTTTGGCTGACTGGAATTCCTTATTCCAAATCCGGATTGGGCTTGGCCGGGCCGCAGATTATAGTTATCATCAGGGCTCGAAATCCCACGTGTCCTTTTTTTGTTTTTTTTGGTTCTAAGCCCATTAGTTTTCTTTGACAGTCAATAAATCAATAATTTTCATTCTGTACATTTTGATTACTATGCTGCTTCTTCTTTCTTTAGGCATGTTTACGTATCAGTAATGGAGAAAGTAAGAAATTAGAGAATTTAGGAATCGAGAAAGTATTAAATCGGTATGAAAAAATCATTCTCATTAAGTTGTTTACTAAACATATGGAATTAGCAAAGGAATTGGGTTAATTTCCATTGTTATTGTTTACTAATTTTCATGAATCAGAATCCAAATTAATTTGATTACTAAAATGTCATGCACATTTTCACCACAGCACATACATAATTCTCAAATTGGCTAAGGAGACCAAACTAATCTTGTAGCAAACTAATAAGGCGGTGTAAATATGATGAATCAATATTGTAAACAAGATGAACAGCAAGAGTCCAATTCAATGATAATTTTAATAACACCTTTGTCCAGAGCCAATTTCAAACAAAAAAATAAACTCCAATAACATCTTGGAGCGTCTTTGAACTTCTTGGCATGAGTTTTTTTTTTTTATAGGGTTTGGGGTGTTTTGGAATTATGGTAAAGTGGTAACGGTATTTTTGGAAGTTAATAAGGGAAAACATGAATGGGAATCGTATCAACTACCTCCCTCTAGTTGATCTGATACCTAATTTTGAGGGGATGTAATTACGGATTTTGAGGTAGGGCCCACTTATTTTTATCTAATTCTAATTACACTTTTACTTTTAATAAATTACTTCTTTTTTTTTGTCAAACTTTTTATAAATTACTTTAAAAATGATAAATAGCACAACTCTAAGACGTTACATGCATCATAGTTGTATATGTAACGCCCTACTTTAGCTAGGACACAGATAAGGTGAGCAGCATTCTAGTTTTCCTTAATTAGGGTGCCCCTCTCATGGGGATGTTGGTGGTGGTTATGGTCGCAATCAGAACAAAATTTATAAGGGAATGCTAGCAACTTTCTCTCTAACCTTCTCCTTTGAACCTTCTCCCTTTCCCTCATGACATGTGTCATTTTCTTTACACTTAAAACAATGTCATTAATACATCAAACAACCTACTTTTTGTTTTCCATATTTACCCTTATTTTTGTATTGACTTTAATGTTTACTTCAATTCATTCAATTTTTTTTTTCCAGCTCTCTCTCTCTTCGAATAATCACATACTTGCAGCCCCAAATACAACCCTCTATTATCATTTTGAGAGAGGCAGACTTTCACACCTAAAACAACATGACATCTCCTACCAAAAAAAAAATCAAAATCAAAATCAAAATCAAAATCCATCAAAATCATTTTGTTTATTTCTCATATTAAAGTTTGCAACTTTAAAGTGAGATTTTTAAATTTGGGTTAGGCTGTTGTTGTTGGTGCTTGGTAATGGTCCTCAAACCCAAATTTAGTATAATGGCCAATACTTGCCGTGGCCTTGAGGTCTTTTTACCGTAGCCAAAACTTGCAGGGGCTTGATTTTGTTTGAAGAGAGAAAAAAAGAGGGAGAGAGAAGGAAGAGAGTATGGGGAGGTGGTAAGGAAAGGGTGGGGTGGAGATGGGTGGCGCTAAGGAGATGGTGGGGAAGATGGAGGTGCTGGGCTTTGGGGAAGAAGGTGGGGACGGCTTGGGATAGGTTTTTTTATTTATTTAAATAAATAAAAAAATTAAATTAAATTTTTTAATTTTTAATTTTTAATATTTAATAAATTAATATAATAATTTGTTACAAGTTATTAAGAAAGCTGTAAAAAAATTAATAAATTAAAGTAAAGTCAATACGTCAAATAAGGGTGAATATGGAAAACAAAAGCTAGGTTGTTTGTTGTATTAATGACATTGTTTTAAGTGTAGAGAAAATGACACATGTCATAAGAAAAAGAGAGAATGTCCAAAAAAAAAAGTTAGAGAGAAGGTTGCTAGCATTCCCCAAATTTATATAGCGCAAACATGATATAATCAAAAGTTGTTTTAAGACTTGGGGTTAAAACACAGTCAGTCGAAAAAGATAGCAAGTTAAACTCGTCTTCCTCGACTTAAGAATTCTTCTTCAGATTTTTGGATCACAATTGATTAACGAAATAGTAAATCGCAAAACCTTCCTCAATACAATTGCTTGCACATACTCATCTTAAATACATGTCCAGAAAAGAGAGTTTTTCTTATTATTTTTATTTTTGTTTAGCAAGGGGGATTCAAATTCGTGCTCCCATTCTCCCCACAGTTGCTGCACTAAAATATCAAGAGAAGATGTCAAAATCTCTATTTGACACAAAGACCAACTCAAATATCCAGAAGAATGCTGAAGGATAAAGTTTTCAACTATATCCATATCTAAACAGGCAATCATGCCAGAATTTGATGAACAACTTCATTCTGAAAAAATCCATTCATAACTTCATGAATCATCGAGTCTTAAATAGTTTTCGTTACAGAAATATGGGCAAGAAATAATTATGATAAGCCCCGACATTCCAGCACAATATGAAGATGGATAGGCTAAAAATAAAGTTGAAGAAAACAAAGGATGTAAAGTGAAAGAGTAAGCCAAAGCCATACACATAAGAACATAATTTACATTTCATACTTCAAATGTTGATAACTGTTGATAACTGTTGACAAACAACAATCGGCCAAACGAATAGAGATACTTAACATAGGAAATTTATATACACAAGTTCATTACATGCAGTCTACGTCTTAACGACAGGAAAAAATCGTGCTCCGAAATGCATGTGCCGAGTACCACAATGGGAGTGTAGAGCTGTTCTTCACAGAGTACATCTCCTTCCACACACGAGTCTTGCGATAAAACACCAAAATCTGCTTATGGGTTGCTAGGAAAACATATTCACCAGTCTGACATATGGGGAAGATGCCTGGCACAAGTCCTTTGATACATCTAAGACTCACTGTATCCACCAAATGCCATTCCTCTCTCTCATATTCTCTCAACACCCAAATTCTCATCCAAGCATCTGAAATCTGGACCACAGACAAGCAACCATCGGACTCCAACAAATAAAACCTATTTCCAGACCCGCAACTCACTTTTTCGGGCAACGACATCTTCCTCCAAATGTCATAATCCAAATCAAGCACAAGAATGCAAGAACAACTGCCTGTCAACCAATGAAGAGCACCATTTGCATACACAACTTGATTCTTGTTCATGTGGGTGAACTGATCATCCTGAAACGAAACGAACTTCCTCCATTTGTTTGACTCAGAATCATACACCATACAAATAAAAGTCCCATCGGGCCTATGACCAAAAGTACGGTGATAACCAGCTAAAACAACATTAAACTTCTGGGTGGATAAATTGCAGGCCAATCCCACTAGAGTGGCCTCACCATCAGGGTAAAATCGAGTCACATGCCTTTCCCTACTCTTTGGAAGCAACTTGAACTCACGGGTCATAGGATTGCATACATAGTAAACACCCTTATCAGGTATGCTAGAGCAACACAACAGACCATTACATGAGGCTCTAACCTTAACTCTGTCCTTCAAGAAATCTAAGGAAAATTCAGAAACACCCCTCCGATTGTCAACAACAATCAGATTTGATCTTGATCCCAATGAATCAGAAACCTCAACCAATAGCATGGGGTTCTTAGCAGACGCTTCATTGTACAGATGAATGAAATACTTATCAGAAACCAATCTATACCAAAGTTTACAAACAGTTCTGCTCCTGAAAAGTGACTTAATGGGAAGTCTTGAAAGAATCTGAAGGACAACTTCGTCCGGAAAATAACCACATCTTTGGGAATTCATTATCAAATTCCAATAACCATGAACAAAATTCAGATTACCCAGTTACCTAAATCATGAAAAGGGTATGGAATTTTCTTACCAGATGGTGATTTCGAGATGGGTATTTGATCAAATTGCGTTTGATGCAAAGAGATGAAGTGGGCTTTCACTTCTGAGTTTCAAAGTTCACCACTTTTACCTTCGAAAAGGAGGAGGGAGCATCTGTGATCTCAATTTGGGGAATAGTATTATTATTATAATTATTATTATAATAATAAAAGGTAGGGATTGGAAGAAAATTAAGGATTGTCCACAGGAGTCAGAATTCAATCCAGAAAGAAAGAAGTAGATCCGTGGACAAAGCAAGCACATGCGCCAGGATGCGATCTAATTTAGGCTTGGTGGGCTCTTAACAAGTTGGCCAATGACAATGGGCTACATCCGAGCATAGCAGGCTGAATCCAAGTGGATATTACATAAAGTCACTGAATTTGAAACCCAACTTCTTTTTTCGCTCCAACAAAAAATAAAAACTTCTTTATTTGTTGGAAGTTGGAAGTTGGAAGTTGGAAGACAGAAAAAAAGGAAATGAAGACATTTTTGTACGTTCCGAGTACTCAACGTGTCCCCATTATTATTTTTTGCTGAGTTCGTATTCTTTTTATTCAATAAAGGAGGAGGCAACCTTCATATTCTTGCCATTAGCATGGAGGTAAAATGTTCCGTATGAGAATTGTACAAGGACAAAAATTATAACAAGGATATTGGTAGATGTTAAGGACTTCAAGATTGCAGAACAACTTTAGGTTGCCTGAGGAACCTCAAGTAACATATGATGCTATCTTACATATAAAGACGTCCACTGACCACTACTAAGAAAGAACAGAAGAATAAGAAGTTACAACGATTTATACCTACTAACTAGGACTACTTAAGGATTAACCCTCAATTTCTCTACACAATCCTCGATCGTTACAGATGATCATTTCTCGACAGAATAGGTTTCGTCACAGGAGATAATATCTGAGAGGGAAGTCCAGATCCAGAACAACAATGCCTACATGATGTAAAGAAACTGCTAGAAATGATTACATGATGCTGAACTGAGATTTATCCTGAATGGGGAACTTTGGTACTATCCGGGGGTTACAATCAGTCAAGCACACAAGACTTGTGACAAGATCAACTATAGATTCAAAGATGCCTGAAATATGTAAAAGAAAACAACCTTCATCACTATTGACCTCTACCTCTGTTGCCCTACTGAACTTTGGCATAGTTTCTTTCAGCTATGCATCTACTGTTGAAATTTACTGATGTAGCCACCGCCTCACGAGAATTTTCCTGCATTTTCAAGAATTAGTGCTTGTTTTCAACCAAATAATGAAATTCGTGATCATGATGGCGGACCATTAAATTTGATAAATTCAGTGTGGCATAACGGACTCTCCAGAATATCCTCATACGACAGTTGTTACTGGCCCTAAACCTACTTTATACATTATTCACATATTGGAAAAAGCAACATCGTCGAGATGCCCCCTTTGCTTATTTATCTATTTCCTTTTGTCAACAAACTCTTTGTGATCATATCCATATTTATTGACCTGCACCAAACAAAAATATGCAGCAATTAATTAGAGATCCTCAATAATATAGCTTCTTGTTTTTCATAAAGCTTCCCATAAGTAATGCTTTCTCATTTTATGATAATCTCAAGGAAACACACACAAAAAGAAGAAACAAAACAAAAAAGAAAGAAAGAAAGTCAAAAACATTGCTTCATGATTTTGACATGGACAATAAACAGCTTTAAGTCATACCATGTAACCATGGATCCATCGTCCATTAATCCAGTCTTGATGAGGCCTCAAATTGGAATGTTTAAACTCTAATTCCTCATTCGTGGTGCTGAAGTAGACAACATACTTTGAGCCGCTTAGAACTTTGGAAATGGTACCCTCCCACCATCCATCATTGTACAAAGTATCGACTTTCTGGAGCACTTTGAACTGAGCAACTGGTGGAAGCCGAGGTGGGCAAGGTCTAATATAACTTGCACATGTTTCTTCTCTCAAGAGCTCTGTTCCATCATCGGTTACCAGGTGCTCGTATTCCACCAGAAACTTGTCGCTTCCTATATGGTCAATTATTTTAGCAGTGTACCAAGCACCCTTGTAACCTTCCTCATCACTGCTAACCTCCACCACAGTCCCATTTTCGAAGCTTGCCCCCGATGTTCTGTTGCTGCACTTAATTTTCAATACCAACTTTCTGGACTTCACCGGGGACGTTTTCTGCAGCTCAAGATTTCACAAACTAAGTAGACATTCGAAACCAATAAATTTATAGAAGAACGATCACACAGAAATGCATAACTAGACCATACACACATGGCAGGCATTAGCAACCAGTGAATTACCATAATGGCATAATGTCAATATCAGAAATCAAATACCATAAGCCACTTTACAAAGTTGCACAAACATCAAGAAACAAAGCAAAGCATAACAGCTGACAACATGTGCAATTTAAAATTGAGTTATGATTTCAAACCATTTTCCTTAGTTGCCTGCATGAGACATATTTGCTTGAAAATATATATACAATATAATAATTGAATGTCAACCACAACCACTTGCAGCAAGAATCTACATACACATATAACAAATTATATAATGTCATTGCACTCTTATTATAGCATTTCTATCTACCAGAAAACACCATAAGGATATAAAAAGGAAACTAAAATAGACTTGAAACGCATCAATTCCAGAGTGAACTTAAAAAATTTCATAAAGAAATTAAAACCCAGCACCAGAAGCACAAACATAAAACTAAAAGCACCAAAGTTTCACCAGGGAAAAAACAAACCCAAGAACCCATCAAGCAAGAACATAGAAAACAAGTTTAATTTTTTTTATTAAAAAAATAAATAAATTAATTAAATAAACCTCTTCTTGAAAGACAGGGACCCAAGAGTCATCTTCCCACTCTCTATGCAGCCTCAAATTAAACTGCTGACACTGAAATTCTTGACCCTGGAACGCAACCAAGTACTTGGAATTCTCCAAAATTTCCCTGACAGTCCCGCGAGACCACCCTTTATCTCTATAGGCGTCGACGTCGTCACCGACTTTGAAGAACTCGTAGAGCTCTTTGGGCGGCATAGGCCTGGCATTGCGCAATTCGACAATCTCGGTTAGGGTTTTTGAGCCGTCGGCGTTGGGGTTGGTTAGCGTTTGGTGCTGGACCAACATGTGGGCCTTGTCCTTAAATACAGGACGGAGCACCGTGGCTGGGTAGTAGGGTCCGGTGGAGCCATGGCCTGGCCTTGTGACCTCCACTTGGTCTCCCTTGTTGAAAGGGATCTGCGACATTGGGAAATTGGAAACCCTAGGAGGGAGGGAGAATAATATTATAAAATGGAGGTAACGGGAACTTGGCGGGAGAGGGAGGTGGTGTGATCTATGTTGCAACGGACACTCCACTAAGTACATATTTATTATAAAATTCACATCTCAAATTTCAGATAAAATTTTTATTTAAGTTTTTTATTTGCCACGTGTTCATATTTATTATAAAATTCACATCTCACTCATCATACAATTGAAATAGTTATTCATTCATCATACAATTGAAATACTCTCGATCCTCATAGTCCAACACAATCGAGTATAAGGATGATTTAATCATTGGCGAAGGCAGTTTCATCGGATCATGATGTGGGGGAGTATTTTCCTTCAAATGATGTAATAGTACCATTAGTTCCGGCATGAAACGCACTGTTGGAACCGATTGCATGCATTGTTCACTTGAGAAGCCATGTATAATGGTTTTCCTCTTTTTTTGTTTTCCCTTGAATAATTTATTAAAAATTGGAAATTGGAAATGCAAGAAAATACAAATAAAAAAAATGACATTAAATTGAATAAAGCGGAAATTATTTTTTTTTCTTACCTCGTCGCCAAGATTTTGACCTCTTCAAACATTTTTCCATACCCTTCTACTTCAATGGAAGAAGTCATTTGTATTTTTACACAAATGGAAATTTATAGTAGAAAATGTGGTGTGGAAAGTGAAAAATATTGGAAGAAGATGAATTTGCATGAAGATTTGGTGTGAAAAGTGAATAATATTGGTAGGTATTTATAGAAAAAAATTCCATAATTTTTTCAATTTTTTTTTTCAATTTTTTTAGTTGGAAAATGGGCAGTCGTTGGATTGGATGACATTTTTGGATCGGAGCCTCCAGGAGTAGACACGTGGCTTGTAGTTGTTGGTTTTTAGCATCGTTGACGTCAGTAGCCCGAAGGCAAGACGGGCCAAATCTCCCTGTGGGCTTGCCTGGGCTCATAGGTTCCACGCCTTGCTTAGTAAAATAAATGGAAGAAAATTATTGCATGCATCATATGATATGTTCTTATAATTTATTCACATAATAAACTATTCTTAGATCTAATCATCTGACCGTTCTTAAGAATTTTGCTTCCAGATGATTGCAACCCAAGTTTCATGCTATGTTTGTAGTTTTTTACGTTATGATTTTGACATAGTTAACTGCTTTAAACTGTGAAACTGTCAAATTGCCCTTTAAAGTTTATAGTTTGAATTTTAGGTCTTTCTCTAAAATCTAAAAGTTAAACCCAAACCTAAGCGAAACAATCTTCAATTGGATTATTAGCTGCCTAATTTATTTTTTTGTTTTTGAAAAATGAATATTTTAATTATAAGGAGTATAAGGAAACAGACACACTGCCTTGACTAGCTGGCTTAACCTACAACTCATCTCTGTATAATTATAACGAGTCATTCTATACTGAGGGCATTATTTAAGACCCTTAGATGATGCCCTATCTCTTAACCGTTTGATCAAACTAACTAATTTAATCCAACGGCTAATCCTGGTCTAATAATTAAGAAATAAGGCCTTTAGATAGAGCATCATCTAAGAGCATCTTCAATCTATGCAGCCTCAAATTAAACTGCTGACACTGAAATTCTTGACCCTGGAACGCAACCAAGTACTTGGAATTCTCCAAAATTTCCCTGACAGTCCCGCGAGACCACCCTTTATCTCTATAGGCGTCGACGTCGTCACCGACTTTGAAGAACTCGTAGAGCTCTTTGGGCGGCATAGGCCTGGCATTGCGCAATTCGACAATCTCGGTTAGGGTTTTTGAGCCGTCGGCGTTGGGGTTGGTTAGCGTTTGGTGCTGGACCAACATGTGGGCCTTGTCCTTAAATACAGGACGGAGCACCGTGGCTGGGTAGTAGGGTCCGGTGGAGCCATGGCCTGGCCTTGTGACCTCCACTTGGTCTCCCTTGTTGAAAGGGATCTGCGACATTGGGAAATTGGAAACCCTAGGAGGGAGGGAGAATAATATTATAAAATGGAGGTAACGGGAACTTGGCGGGAGAGGGAGGTGGTGTGATCTATGTTGCAACGGACACTCCACTAAGTACATATTTATTATAAAATTCACATCTCAAATTTCAGATAAAATTTTTATTTAAGTTTTTTATTTGCCACGTGTTCATATTTATTATAAAATTCACATCTCAAATTTCAGATAAAATTTTTATTTAAGTTTTTTATTTGCCACGTGTTCATATTTATTATAAAATTCACATCTCACTCATCATACAATTGAAATAGTTATTCATTCATCATACAATTGAAATACTCTCGATCCTCATAGTCCAACACAATCGAGTATAAGGATGATTTAATCATTGGCGAAGGCAGTTTCATCGGATCATGATGTGGGGGAGTATTTTCCTTCAAATGATGTAATAGTACCATTAGTTCCGGCATGAAACGCACTGTTGGAACCGATTGCATGCATTGTTCACTTGAGAAGCCATGTATAATGGTTTTCCTCTTTTTTTGTTTTCCCTTGAATAATTTATTAAAAATTGGAAATTGGAAATGCAAGAAAATACAAATAAAAAAAATGACATTAAATTGAATAAAGCGGAAATTATTTTTTTTTCTTACCTCGTCGCCAAGATTTTGACCTCTTCAAACATTTTTCCATACCCTTCTACTTCAATGGAAGAAGTCATTTGTATTTTTACACAAATGGAAATTTATAGTAGAAAATGTGGTGTGGAAAGTGAAAAATATTGGAAGAAGATGAATTTGCATGAAGATTTGGTGTGAAAAGTGAATAATATTGGTAGGTATTTATAGAAAAAAATTCCATAATTTTTTCAATTTTTTTTTTCAATTTTTTTAGTTGGAAAATGGGCAGTCGTTGGATTGGATGACATTTTTGGATCGGAGCCTCCAGGAGTAGACACGTGGCTTGTAGTTGTTGGTTTTTAGCATCGTTGACGTCAGTAGCCCGAAGGCAAGACGGGCCAAATCTCCCTGTGGGCTTGCCTGGGCTCATAGGTTCCACGCCTTGCTTAGTAAAATAAATGGAAGAAAATTATTGCATGCATCATATGATATGTTCTTATAATTTATTCACATAATAAACTATTCTTAGATCTAATCATCTGACCGTTCTTAAGAATTTTGCTTCCAGATGATTGCAACCCAAGTTTCATGCTATGTTTGTAGTTTTTTACGTTATGATTTTGACATAGTTAACTGCTTTAAACTGTGAAACTGTCAAATTGCCCTTTAAAGTTTATAGTTTGAATTTTAGGTCTTTCTCTAAAATCTAAAAGTTAAACCCAAACCTAAGCGAAACAATCTTCAATTGGATTATTAGCTGCCTAATTTATTTTTTTGTTTTTGAAAAATGAATATTTTAATTATAAGGAGTATAAGGAAACAGACACACTGCCTTGACTAGCTGGCTTAACCTACAACTCATCTCTGTATAATTATAACGAGTCATTCTATACTGAGGGCATTATTTAAGACCCTTAGATGATGCCCTATCTCTTAACCGTTTGATCAAACTAACTAATTTAATCCAACGGCTAATCCTGGTCTAATAATTAAGAAATAAGGCCTTTAGATAGAGCATCATCTAAGAGCATCTTCAATCGATGTGTCAAACGTGCCACATAGACATTTAATAGCTATAAATAACATCTCATATCACTCCAACCGATGTGTCAAAGCTGATGTGAAATGAAAGCTAGAGGTTGAAATGTTATTTTTGACATCCCAAAAGCATGATGTCAAATGAATATTTTATTATTTTTTCTTTTCTTTTCTTTTTAACTAAAAATGAATCAACACTAAAATGTAATAAAATAATAATTTTGTTGACGCAGAAAAATGGTTCGGCACTTTCCCGCGTAACTTAATGATTTTGTTACCTTCGGTATGCTATGGCCTCGGTAGGATGTTATACTTGTAAGATAGCAAACGCTCGGTAAGTCCAAGGTACCGGTGTGGTACCGGCCGAAGGCTCTCCGATGCTTAAGTAAGTACGGACTTAGTAAGTTTGAACTACAGATCAATAGGCAGTATGCCGTTAGTTCTAATTGATTACCTCCAAGCTGGGATAGTTGTCCACTTTTATAGGCCTTGGGAGGTGTGCCTTTTGTTTAGAGTTTCGATGTGGGACTGTGGACATCCATTGTGAGACTGCCACGTGTCTCAGGTGGTAAGGTTGCCATATTAGAGCGATCGGTAGATAAGATGCCGAAGCTAGATGCCGAAGGCTCCCATAGCTCCAGCTTGGTCCACGTGTCAAATGTTAATTGGCTGCTCATTTTGGTATAAACAATTTAATTTGACTTATCGGGTGGAGTGTAAAGCTGTGTAAGATGTCAAATTGCCACATCAGCCATCAAATTTAAATTTGATGTTTGGTATTTGACATCTCCCTTGGAGATGTTCCAACTGATGTGTCAAAAGTGCCACATAGACATTTAACGGCTAGAAATAACATCTCACATCACTCCAACTGATGTGTCAAAGCTGATGTGGAATGAAAGCTGGAGGTTGAGATGTTATTTTTGACATCCCAAAAACGAGATGTCAAATGAATATTTTATTATTTTTAAAAGATAGCTGGATGTTACTTTCATTTATTATTTTCTTTTTTTTTTTTTTTTTTTTCTTCTTTATCTTAAATGATTTGACTGTTACAATAATTATTTATTTGACATATCGGGTGGAATGTAAAATTATGCAAATGTCAAATTGCCACATCAGCTATCAAATTAAAATTTGATGTTCGATATTTGACATTTCCCTTAGAGATGCTCTAAGGGGCTTAAATTATAGGCTTAATTATGTACATGCCCCCTGTGCTTTCCAACTTATCTCAGATTACCACCTGTGGTAGAAAACGTCTCAAAGTACCCCCCAACGTGCAAAAAACTGTCTCACGTCACCCTTTCCGTCAGTTTTTTTGAAGTTCCGTTACGAATGTTACTGTTCATCTCCCCCAAAATTCCAGAACAGTAGCCCCTCCCCTTTGTTACTGTTCATCGCTTATTTACCCTCCAAAACTCAGAAATTTCTCCTAACCAACACAACTAGCAGCAAGAACAACTCGAGAGGTTGAAAAATCATACCTGGATCGAAGAAAATGGTGCTCGGAATCGCCCGAACGAGCAATGGAGATTTTGGGTAAAAACCGGCCAATTTCTTACTTTTTTCGGTGATCCAGACGACGGTTGGCAGCGGCTGAGATGTGAGGGTGGTAGAGGACAACGTGCTGGTTCTTTTGATATCCATGTCGTCGCTTGGGGTGGCCGGAGGAGGCGATGGCAGCCCAAAAACTGGTGCGATGAACAGTAACAAATGGGAGGAGCTGCTGTTCTGGAATTTTGGGGGAGATGAACAGTAACGTTCGTAACGGAACTTCAAAAAAACTGACGGAAAGGGTAACGTGAGACAGTTTTTTGCACGTTGGGGGGTACTTTGAGACGTTTTCCACCACAGGTGGTAATCTGAGATAAGTTGGAAAGCACAGGGGACATGTACATAATTAAGCCTAAATTATACGATAAGAGCAAAGCTAATACTCCAGCCCAAAGTTCTGTGGATTTAGCTGAGTTGGGCCTTTTTGTTTTCAGGCCTAGTCATTTAAATCATCAACCAAACAGTGTGGTAAAAATAAAATAAAAACAATAAAAAATACTTTCCAAGAAATTCAGGTCAGGGCTCTTACCTTTTTTATTTGTCAAAGTTAAGAAGATGAAGGGAAAAAAACTCACATACACGGAATTGAAGCCAGGTCACCTGACCACTCCCTTTTTATGAAATTGCAAAGCACATCTGAAATTTGGTACAAATCATTATTGAAAACGTCAATCACCCTCCACCTTTTCATTAGTCTTCAAAGGAATAATTTGAGAAAGGAAAAAGTGAATATAAAAAAGAAGGGATAAAAATAAAATGAAACAACCCTAAGCAAAGAGAAGAAGAGGCATCCATGCATGTTAGCATGTCACCCAAAGCAGGAAAAAGGGGTGGAAGAAATGGGGCCAGTGCTGGCAATACCCAACACAAAATAGCTATAGTGGGATATGAGGGAAATCATGAGATTTTCCCCTATCAACTTCTCCTCACTACTTTAATTTTTTGTTGTCATGGAGAAGGTTAAAAGGAATTTAGCTTTTCAATGCCCACTTGTGAACATCATCATTTTATGCTACAAGTCACCACCACCTTCTTTCTGACCTCCTTTTAGTACTCAAAAGCTGTAAATTTATTTATTTATTTAAAATAAAATAACAACTAGGGCAGGCAACAATTCAATTAGTACCAACTTTACCTAAATGCACCCCTACCTTGGCCATTACAAGGAGGATCTTTAAACCAACAAATCAAAATACGTAGAAAATACTCAAAGGAAAATTCTGAAATCAAATACAAGTATCTGAAAGTACGTAGTATGATCGTTGTTAAGCGTCCGCTACTTGATTAGTTTCTCTATAAGCATGAGATAATAAGTATTGTCGGAAATCTTGTAAGAGTTGCCAAAGGCCATACGTTTTCATTTCTATTATTATTCAACCCACCTTTTATTCTATTATTTCACCCAAAATGTAGAAATTGAGGGACCTAATTTGTTTGAAAAGTACAAGTTAGAAATTTCACCCTAAAGATTGCACAATGTGCGCAAAAACAACAACTAGAATTGGACACAAACTACAGAAACATCATTTTCGCGACACATGAAATTGAAATAAAGCACAAACACTTGCGCAAGAATGATTGACTAATAGGTCTGGCAAACTAAGCCATTATGTGGTCTACAAGGCATGCAAAATTTTCAATTCGATGCTGACATATGTTCCAAATTTAGCATGGGAATCTTGATCAATAATATATGCCAAGTTAAAAACCCCCCATTTTCACCCCACAGACAGGTTGGTAAAAACTTTTTTACCTAACAAGTGTCATGATTTAAGCATTAGTTAGTTCTAGCTGTACCTTGGTAGGCAGGACATGCACTTAACATATTCTTCGGTCAATCAATTTTTATTT